CCTGCTAGGATAGTTATAGTGATGATATTTAATTCCTGCATTTTACCAATTTTACAACACGACTAAAATTCAACATTTTCATCTATGTTCATTTGTATACAGAGTTAGAGTAGTAACTTGTAATGACTGAGAAAAGCTGTGACAGGCAGGATTCTTTGGATTCAACTTACTGTACAAGTGTTAAGAATTTGTGAATGAGGGGTGGTAGAGAGGGCTCAGAGATTAAGAACACTGGCTGCTCTTGTAGAGGACCAAGGTTCCATTCCCAGCACCCACACATGGCAACTAACATCCATCCTTAAGTTCAATTCCAGAGGACTCCTCCTTCTGGCCTCCACAGGTACTGCAAACTTGTGGTACACTTTACTTACATGCAGGTAAAACACTCATATACATTAAGTAAATAAATAAAATAAAAAGAATGTGTGAATGAGCCAGGTGTGGTGGTACAAACCTTTATTCCCAGCACTCAGGAGGCAGAGGTAGGCAATCTTTGTGACAGTGAGATCATCTTGGTATACATATGGAGTTCCAGGCCAGCTGGGGTTAAAAGGAGACCCAGTCTCAAAAAACAAACAAACAAACAAATTTGTGAATGGACTGTAACTTGTGCTATAAGCACTTTTTCCCACCGAGCCATCTTACTAGCTCTATAGGAAATTTTGAATTTATCATCTGGTCTTTCATGGGTATCTGTTCCTTTGTTGTTTGTCAAAACTTGAAATGATCTAATTTATTTATTTTTGTTCATGTAGCATTAAACAGCATTTCTGTATTTAAATCTTGGTGTTATTGCTTAACTCTGGTGTTGAACATTTTTCCTCCCTCCTCTCCAACTGGCAATTGTACAGATGAGTTTGTGACAGCTGTCCAAGAACCAGACCCTACCTTTTCTACAAAAGCAAATGAACAGGAAAATGGGCTTCAGGTTAGCACAGGGGAGTGATCTCCCTAGCAGAATTTAGTCAAAGGACCTGGGGGTAGTGGCCTTGACTCACAGGCAAAGGCATCAGGAGGCTGGGAAGAAGATCAGAGTGCTGGTGATGTGGTTGGGGAGGCAGAAGAAGTTCCAAAACAATTCCTTGCCTTGGTTGTCAGGAAACTGTCCCCAGAGGAGGCAAAACCCTAAGCTTAGGGGTGAGTGTAGATTTAAGAAGGGAGCAGTAGCTCAAAGCTTCTAGAGCCATATAATAGAGAAGGATCTCCAATTTGAGGCCTCCCTGGGCCATATGATGATACCCATTAACCCCACCCCCAACCTATGAACACAGCCATGGTCACATCTGCAGCCACATTCATTTACTCATGCCCATTTCATGTACACAGAGGGTTGTCACAGTCTTGGACATACACTCTGGAGCCCTGGAATGTGTCTGGACCCAGATGGTTGGGTCCTCGACTTGCTACTGAACTGCCTCAAAGGGCCTCTCCCAGCACTGTACATATCTACTGCCAGAGCACATATGTGATGGGTATCTGGAGTTCCTCTAGGCACATGGTACAAGACATAACTCCGGTGTTGCAAACCTGGTTCATTTTCAGTTCCAAGACCTCTCATGGTTGTAGAAGGATCAGGTCAACAGGGTCTTCAGGGTGTGTGTCATGCTCTTGGGAGGGGGGATGTTTCGGTTTAGACTTCTGGTGTGCCATGACTGCAGGGGTAGATGAACAGTGCTCAATTTGCTTCTGGTTCCCTGGGCAACAGGAACGTTTTTTGTAGTTTTCATGTCATGTGAAATTCTTTCTCTTGGTGCTGCATTAATGGTGTGTTTCATTTTCAAATCTAATTTATTATGGTATATGTGCCTCAGAATAATGAATTTTTGTGTATTAAGCCTTGCTATAATCCTTCCTTAATTCTAGGAACTTTGGTTGTTTTGGGGGGGCATTCTATGTAGACAGTGTCTTCTGTGAACAAAAGGAGTTTTTTATTTGTTCCTTTTCAACCTCAATGCCTTTTATTATTTGTTTTTCGTGTCTTAACTTTGTCTCCAACTGGTGATATGATAGATTTTTCCTTAGGTATCTGAGGTTGTAGATTACAGTAATTACTTTAAAAACACTTTGTTTCCTTGAGAATTTCATATAATTTTTATCATATTTTTAGTTTACTCTCACTGCACCCTACTACCCCCGAACTCTGTCTTCTGTTATTTTTATTTATTTATTTTTATTTTATGTGTGTGAATGTTTTGCTCCCATATATGTGTGTCTGTTTGTGAAATGCCCTCAGAAGCCAGAAGAGGGTGTTAGACCTTCTGGAAATGGAGCTATGATGGTTATTAGCTGCCATGTGGCTCTTGGGATTGAAGCCTTTGTCCACTGGAAGAGCAGCCAGTGAGCACTCTTAACCACTAAGCCATTTCTCCAGCCCTGTGCACATCCTTTGAATTTTATGCTGTGCACTGTCAACATCAGAATCACACCTCTGCAAGGGACCAGAACAACTGGCACCATTTGGAGCGCTGAATATTTGAATACTGACCCTATATTTGTCTTCTTTCTTTGATGTGCTAATCTGCTCTCCTGTCAGGCAGCAGACAGGCACTGAGATATACTCCTGGCTGGAGTTTACTTCCTTTCTTTCTTCCTCCCTCCCTATCTACCTCTCCTCTCCTCCTTTCTCTTCTTCTCCCCCTTACTTCTTTAATATGGATTGAACCCAGGGTCTCACTAATATTAGGGCACCATTGCACCATATCCTGAGCCCTTTTTTTGACTTTTAATATTTATTTTTGTCTTTTTTGAGAGAGGGTCTCAGTTTGTAGCCCAGGCTGGATTTAAACTTACTAGGTAGACCAGGCTGACCTCAGATACACAGCTATCCTTCTACCTCAGCCTCCTGAGCTGAGTGCTGAGATTACAGTACCACCACACCTGACTTGACTTTTCGAAAATTAATTTAATTTATTTATTTGAGAACAGGTTTCATTATGTAGCCCTTGCAGGTCTGGAACTCACTATGTAGACCAACCTGGCCTTGAACTGACAAGAGATCTAATAGCCTCTGCCTCCCAAGCACTAAAACTAAAGTTAGATGCCACTGTGCCTGGTTTTATTTGTTTTTGTGAGACAAGTTCTCACTATGTAGTCCTGGCTGGCCTAGAACTTGATGTGTATTCCAGGCTCACCTCAAACTCAGAGATCCACCTACTTCTGCCTCCCAAGTGCTGGGGGTTAGTTGATCAGGCTAGGCTTAAACCTGCTTTATAGCCCAGGCAGGTCTTGGACTTGTGGCCCTCCTACTGAGCCTCCCAGGTAGCTGGGATTGCAGGTGCGTGCCACTAGGCCCAGCTTGCTGGGGAACTTTTACTGTGATAAAGGCTCTTGTTTCGGAGGGGATTTTTGTTTGTTCTATGGGAAAATCTGTGAATCGAGACTCACACTGTCACAATGCAAGGCATACCAACTGATACACAGATTAAGGCATGCTTTTCTAGTATTAACTCTAAATTTTTCTCATGAAACACATT